AGTGTTTTCCCCAGATCCCGTGCCTGAAACACCGTCTGGATAGGAAAAATGTCAACAATTGGGAGGGTTGGGTTGCTCAGGAGATCGCAGTTGTGGCACAGGTGCACTCAGGCAGATTTTTATCTCCCAAAACAAGAAGAATGGTAGTGAGCTATCGTATCATCGGCATCTATGGCGGGCAGTAGAACCCAGAAGCCTGGAGCTGAGGTGTTGAGGATCAACAGGGTCGAGTCGAGTGGATTATTGAAGCGGGGTTGACCCGCCATCGTCACCTCCCATTCTTCCTTTTCCCCACCTCAATTCAAAACGTCTCTCTTCTGCGACCATTCTGCTGACTTTCAGCTCTAGGTTCTAAGAGGATTTCTCCCTTCGTTTGTGCCCCTCAATTAACGGGCAAAGTTAGTGGATCGCTTGTAGATCCTCTTCGCCAAACTGTCTATCCTTGCTGGCTGCATAATGCCGGAGTATCCCCGATCCATCGGCAGTCGAACACCATGAAGCGCTCTTCACATGAAGCCAATCTGGACGAAAGTCCACCCCAGCATAGCCGAAGGCCGTCTCTTATCCCTGATGGTCGACCCTCGGCCCCAAGGATCTCCAAAGCTCGCGCGTGTGAGTTCCCCTGGCTGCGATATTTGCTAAGCCCCGCCTTCGATTCCACCCCCTCCTTATGGAATTACGGAAAGCTCTACACGCCAGATACTGAATGAGTACTTCAGGCGCGGAGTGCAAGCGACACAAGATACGTTGTGAGTTCAAAGCAGGAGAAACAAGCTGCACAAAATGCACACGTAGTGGCATAAAATGCACGGTGAACGACTTCTCCCAGAAGTTTGTTGACGATGATGTGATGTAAGTGTCTATCTGGTTTACACTATACTAGCTGTTAATGTACGGTCCATACTTACATCTCGACCCATTTAGGTGGAAGTCGCAAGCTGCAGCCACAATCCGACAGCTGCAGGCGGCTGTCTCACATCTTTTGCGCCAGGGAGGGTTTTCAGAGCTTTCATCGTTTGCTGGCGGCGACAACCAAAGTGGCACCAGCCCTGCCGAGTCTCAGTCTGACCTGCAACCTTCATATGATGGGTCGCCCGCGACCAAACAATCGGCGGAGCCGGGACTGATAATGGATGTTACACGCGAGCCTTCTCAGGAACCGGATCTTCAAGATCGCGAATTAGTGCCAGCGCCCATGCGGAGTCTATACGAAGTCACCAAGCTGCGCAACTTGCGGAATAATCCCATCGAACAACCCAAAGTGACACTCCTGGAGGAGGACTTCATCTCGCGCGGGTTGATCTCACTTCACGAGGCCGAAGAGCTCTTTGCCTACTTCAGCAGGACGATGAACCAGCTGCTCTGGGGTGGAATTATCCTGGTTCATCGTGATCTGACTTCCGTCCGTCGAGCTTCTTCACTTCTCTGCACTGCCGTCCTGACAGTTGCAGCACTTCATATCCCGAACCGTACGGAGACGCTGAACCGATGCTACAACGAGTATGTATCACTTGTGTCCAGCATGTCTCTGACACGGTCTCACACCCTGGATGATATTCGCGCGCTCTGTATTGGGGCGTTCTGGCTGTCGGAGCTGAGCTGGAAGCTGTCAGGCCATGCCGTTCGCATTGCCACCGAACTAGGTCTTCACCAGAGCTACCACAAGATGATGCGCGGTCACGACGACCAGTACGAGCGTGCTCAGCTCTGGTACCTGATGTATGTGTGCGATCACCACTTCAGTATCGCGTACGGACGACCACCCGTGATCCACGAAGATGCCGCTATCAGAAACTACGAGACATTTCTGCAATCGCCGTTGGTCGTACCAGGAGACATCCGGCTCATGGCACAGGTGGCGCTGTTCATGATCCTCACGGAAGCTTACCGGACTTTTGGAAGTGATACCGAGCAACCATTCACCGAGGAAGATTTTGGTCAATTACGAGTCTTCAATGTGGCCATCGACCAATGGCGGCTGCTGTGGCAGCCACGGTCTGGTATGTTCTCGCCTGAATAATAAATTTTCTGCGCTTGCTAACGTATCTACCCCCGGTATAGGCGATAGCCCGTATGTGCGGACCTACCCATCTAAAGGGGTAGTGCTTCACTACCACTTCGCCAAATTCCAGCTGAACTCGCTTTCCCTGCGGGCTCTGTCCCCGTCCAACACCCCCGTCTTCTCGATGGACCGCAAAGAGTCGGCAAACACGGCCATCGCATCCGCCATGGCGTGCTTAAATATGGTGCTAGAAGAACCCGACATTCGCGACGAAATCGTGGGAGTCCCGATCTTCACCCATACGATGATCACGTTCTCCGCCGTGTTTCTACTCAAAGTTGCCATCAACTGGAATTCGGCCTACCTCAGCCTCGACGGCCGCCAGGTCCGACGTCTAGTGGAGCGGGTGATCGAGCTGCTGAACTGTGTCTCCGCGGGCGAGAGACACCTGACGAGGCATATCGCCCGTGGGCTCGGAAAGATGCTGGAGCGGTTTGACTCGTGGGACTCGTGGCACGCGAATGGCACGGCTGTGGCTGACTCCGCGGCCGTCGATGCGAAAGGGAGCAGCGACGTCCCCGGGGGCGCCAACGCCATGGCCCAAGGGTTCCCGCCGCCGGATCTGATATACGATATGGTGGGCACATATGGGTTTGGGTTGGATGAGAACTTACTGGATCCCAGTATGGCGAGTTTTGAGTTTCTGGCTCAATAGATGCGGCTTAGACGAGAGAAACTGTATATAGACATATTGGACTCATCTAGGCGAACCTGAATACTACTAGGTACATTGTTGCCTTCTCTTCAGCGGATAGTCCTCGAGGTTAACAGTTGACCTCACCATAAACCCCCCTCCCCTGTTTATCTGGTTTGCGAGAAAGACAAATCCCATCGCATTTACCACACACGCTGTCGGTCCTGTTCGACCATGAACGTTCGAGCCAACGAGTATCTGGCTAGTGGAAGGTACAGTAGAGCCACCAGATAACCCCTCACACGATGAGATGGAAGCCGTCGGGAGTCTCGATGACTGTTTACATACAGCTACGCTACCTAGTAAGCGAGCGACGACCACTTTCTCTGCACCCAGGAGCACTGTTCCACAGATAAGTAGGAACGAGTTACTAAGGGAAGCAGACGGCGTAGCGCACGACGGTAGACTAGGCTGGGGGATTTTGCGCTTTCACTATGGGAAGAGACTAAGATTGATCATACGGCAGAGCGCCTGGGGGAAAAGTGATAATGAGCTTAGGTAGACTAGCTGGTGATTTCAGGGCAGAGGCTGTGGAGGTGGGAGACCTGCGCGATTTGGCTCGGGAGACTACTAATACTCAAGTACTAGTCTAAGGGGCGGGCAGCCGCCCTGGGAGGATTTACCCCTAGCCTCCACACTGTTGGTTTTAGTGTGTTGTTGTGCGACGGCATTGCTGAGGTACTGTACCTCATTTCAATCAATTTCTTTTTTTTTTTTTGTTCTTTCTGAAGGAACTTCTTTGGTAGTACGGTGGGCTTATGATAGTTTGCATTTGTTTGCCTGGAGTCTCTTCCGGTGGACGAAGGCATGGAATGTAAATAACCCGAGGCAGCTCAATAGCTGTGTTGCTCAATGGGACTTCAGGTAATTAAACTTACTTAACTTAGGTAGTCTGTGTAAGCTTGCACTAACTAACCTTAGAAAGTCTGTGCTTTTCGCCATCTCCAGCTCCCCAGCAGAGTCGAGTCCGCATTGCGTTAGGTTGGAGTTGGCTGTATGGTAGGTACTATATATGTAAAATTACCTTATGATTCCCCTGCAGTAACTTAGTCTACCCTCTTCGAGTAAGCTGCGTAATAGCCGGACTTAAGAGTGAGTGAGTGTGACAAGAGGTTGACATCATGAGTTTCGTTTCTTTTCTTGCCACGTCCAGAGAACAAGTTAAGCCCACTGCCAGTAACTTACCGCCCTGGTAAGGTGGATTACAATGGCTGCTATTGCCCCGGAGTATCTGTGCGCCCCCCGCCCCGTCCGGTACTGTCACCCCACTTACCATACGCCATTCACCCGCCATCTTCAGGTCTGTTCAGGTCTGTTTGCACTTCCCTTCCTTCCTCTTTCTCCTCCCACTCTCTTCCTAATTCTTCCTCTAGGAAACTCGACCATGATTTCCTCTCATCTCCCACTCATCCATATGCCAACCTTTCTTCAGATCCAGGGGACCTGAAGTCTCTGAGAGTGTTATCGTTCCATGGCGAGCTGAGAATCAACCGACCAAGCAGCGATTACCGCGGTGATAATCGTCATGTCATTCATGTCATCACTGCGGAGTCACTCAACTCTTGCCCAGGAACTTCTAGGCGCACGGCCTTGGCACCGTTAAATCGACGCGCAATGCGACGGGAACGCGAGCCCCAGACCTGGAGCAGAAGTAGCAGCAGCTTTCTTCTTCCTGTTTACTCCGTAGCTGGTGTTGGTTTTCCAGTGCGCGCTTTTTCTCGCGCCGCTGCGCTGCTCCTGCTGCTGCTGCTGCTACTGCTTGGGGCTGACGAAGTGCCCCGGGCCGGGCTGACTGACTGACCGAATTAATGCTCACTCATCCATTCCCTCGTCCGGGACTGTCCCCTCACCCAAACTGGATCTCTCCCCCTTCCCTTGGATTGTGAGGAGGCTTGTCCTGGCTGGCTGGCTGGCTGGCTGGCTGGCTGTCCGTTTCCTCTGTTCCCTGCCGGCCGTCCCCTCTCTCTCTGCCCGTTTCCCTCTTATACTTCTCTCACACCCCCAGCTTGCTCTTCCCTCCCCCCCCTCTCTCTTCTCCCTCTCCCTACTTTACTCTCACACTCTCTCTTTACCTCTTTCATACACCCGTTCGGCCCTTGGGACCTTTCCTTGTCCTTTTTACCATTAACTCTATCCATACCAATTCATCCACTAGTTGTGCAATTGCGCAATTGACTCGTTTTTCTCTTTCTTAATATCCTAATCACTAAACATCATGTCTACTCGTAAGAGAAAGCAAGAAGCCGAGGAAGAGGAGGAGCTTCAATCGCTTCCTGAAGACAGCGAGGAAGAAGAAGAGTGAGTATTTTCCTCCCTCATGTCGCATTCGCATTCGTCGCTCTTTCCAACCATGGCGCATGAGCTCCCCCTTCTCTTCGCGCGCTTTCCCAGACCGCCCCATAAAGACAATCGCATCACTGCCAATCACAATTCCTACCAAGCACTAACAAACCAGCAGATATGAAGACTCCGAGGTAGAGCAAAGCGACCTTGGCAGCGAGGAGGAAGAAGAGGAGGAGGAGGAATTTGACGAGGAAGCCGAGGGTGAGGCTGAAGAGCCTGAAGAAGAAGGTATGCTTCATTCTTATCTGCCTCCCTTGCCTATCCTGTCCCTACGGTCGCAGAAAAGGAGCCCGGCATAGTGATACATCGACTGAAAATATGACCATGCGCTAATCTCATATCCTTGACAGCCCCTGCGCCTAAGAAACGAAAGACCGCGCCAGCTCCTCCGGCTGACGAGGAAGAGGAGGAGGAGGTTGCGCAAAACGGCGAAAACGATGCCGAGAACGGCGTTGATGATGAGGAGGAAGAGGAAGAGCTCGCCGACGATGACCTTGAAGAGGAAGATGATACCGCGAAGGAGAGTGGACCCGCCAAGGCGGCCGCGAAGGCCAAAGGAGGTGTCGTTCCCAAGGAGCCTGAGGTGGATATCGAGGGCGATGACGAGTGATCACTGTTCTTGTGCCCCGTGTTATTTGGTCTTCTCCCCCAAGGCAGTGATTTCGAATTGATTCTTCCAAGACGTTTGGTAATTCTCAACCCCCGTGAGCTATCATCGTTATCTACTTCGGTTATTCGGTTATTTCAGGATGTTATCATTATCATGCTGGCCAGTGAAGAACTGGCTGGGTAGTTTCAGGGTATCATGGATTTCGCTGGTTGCGATGATAAACTGTTGTTTCGCCTCAGATCTGACCGATCGTAGTAGTACTGTAATCCCGCGCTTGGGATTGCTAGGGAGAGCGGTTGGTAGATAGCCACCACTTGACCGCCTAGCAGAACAATACGCACCTTCTGCTGTCTGGCACAGATCGCCCTCAATACGTTAAGCACAATACCCTCACTGAAAGATCGAACACTCCGAATAGAGCAAACAACAACCCGACAGCAATAGACGTCCGTCTTCCCCGTCCAGCTAAGCAAAAAAAGTCCACATGACCTCAGAGCAGAGCTACAATGCATACTCCATCTCCCTCATCCGACCGAACATCAAACTTGAGAACTAATCCGTTCATCTCGACTAGGAATCACATAAGTCATACAGGAAATTGAGTTGTGTGGTGTGGTGTGGTGTGGTGGATATGAGTTGTATTACTTTCCTCCCTCCCTCCCTGCCTTCCTTCCTCCCTTCCAGCTCGCTACACAGCACCCGCATCGCATCCCCCGCATCCCTTTCCCCTGGAGCACCAACCCCCCGGCCCCCTTGCATCGACCTCCACTACCCGGAAACCATAACAAACCGCAGCCCAGTACGGCGCGGGAAACATTTAGAAAACATGGAGCTCATCTAACCATCACTGCCACTGCTTCGGAAGGTGGCGCACAGTTGACAGTACTGATGCGTGAGGTCGAGGACGGGCTGCGGGAGGTTGGTGGCCTGGACGATGCTCCGGACCTTGACGGCGCCTTCGTCTTCGATGAGTTTGCGGATGAGGAAGAGAAGTTCGGGAGAGAACTTTTCGTGCGGTGCATTAGCTTATGTTTTGAAGGGGGGGGTAAGGGGTTGGGTGTGATGGTGGGTGAGAGCATACCTCGGAGTACCATCGGTACTGCCAGGCGATCAGACGGATCAACGAGCCCAGCATGCCGCGGGTGTCGTTCTTCTTCTCGTACAGCTTCAGCACGCCGCGCATGGCCTTGGGGGCAAACCGGATGGCCAGGCCGTGCTGGTAGGCCTCGATCGCCTCGTCGAAATGGTGCAGGCGCTCGGCCAGCTCCCCGAGGATCTCCCACTCCGTGGCCGACTTCTTGTACTCGATCGCCTGCTGCCGGTACTGCGCCATCTCCGTGCGCCAGATGGTGTAGATGCGGAGGTCCTCGTAGAGGACCATGAAGAGGTTGTCGAGCCAGCGTTCGCAGAGGCGTTTGTTGCGGAACTGCGTGTACGCGGAGTGGGAGGGGTCGGGCTAGTGGGTAGTTGTCTTAGTATTGTCGAGGAAAAGTATTCTTGAATCGGTGGGAAAGGGAGGACTTACATCTTCATTGCCGGATTTGATCACTTCGGATGCCATTGATTGCTCGGGCTTTTCGATCGAACTTTCCACTTGTTCGTCCTTGAGGCCGTTGGGCGAGCCCTCGTCCTCCTTCTCGGCGTCCTCCGTGTTCGCGTCGTTGTGGTGGTGGTCGTCGTCGTCCTCATCCTCTTGCCCATCGCCCCCGTTGACCTCCGCGGAGGTGCGCGTGTTGGTGCGCGTGTGCTTGGAGGTAGAATGTTGGCGCTCAACGCGGTATTCCTCCTCCATGACAAACACCTCGCTGCGGATCTTGAGCAGCTGATCCCAGCCGATGGCCGCCGCGACCTTGGTCAAAAGGTTGTAGGCCTTCAGGAAGGTTCCTTGGTAGCTAGCTGCGTGGAGACGGCGCAGGGAGGGGTGGACGTAGTCGGCAGGGTCGCCTTGGCGCGGTTGTCCTTCATCGATCTCCTCCAGCATGCTCTCGGCAAGAATCGGCAGCATGATGCGCGTTGGTTGAGGCATGCGCGGGGTGTCTTTATCTTGGTATGTGAACATGGGGCACGAGTTCAGAGTCAACAACGCCAGGTCCCATTGCTCCAAACCGACGTATACTTCGGCCAGTCGGGCCCAGGTGCTGAATTCACTGGGAGCGGCGGTGACCGCCCGCTTGGCACACTCCAAGGCCATCTCGCCCTCGCCTTTGGACTGGCAGAACGCTGCTTGGCAGTCAAGCAGGGCGTAGTCCATCGGTACATCCTGCAAAGCGTCGAAGATCAGTCTCACCGCTTGCACCTCCTCATCAGCCATGATCAGAACTCGGGCCAGAAGCGACGACACTTCGACGTCTCGTGTGCGCAGCTTCTCAAACAGATTGATGCCCGAGGTGTAGCGTCCCGTGGTTTGTATGTACTTCAAAAGACCCGACGTCAGATGGTTGCTGACAGTGTTCGGCACTTGCGTCTCCGGATCGGAACTCAGCTGTCGGCCTGATTTGACAGTGTCAGCGATGTACCACGGTGGAAAGATAATGAAGAGGCATACCCAGGAAGAACAGTCTCTCCGCGGCGTCCAGGAACTTGTGCTCCATCTCCGTATTCGTCACTGGGTTGAATCGCCGGACTCCCACGATCTTGCGAATTGAATCGCCGCTGCCATCGTCCGCGTAGGTATATGCTCTCAGAATCCCGCAGAGAAAGGTCTCCAACCACAACGCCTCCGTCGCAACTCGCTTGTCGCCCCGCTCATCGATACAGTAGCTTTCCAGACTGCCCGGGATTTTCACTTCCACGCGCATGTCGAGGTGGGAGAAGGCATTGTAACAGCTGCGTAGACATTAGCACACCTAGACTGGCAGATGCTTTGACCGATGGCCGAACCAGTAGATCCCCGAAACCACTTTGTGTGTCTTATCCAGCGGGGAGAAGGTGAGTGTGTTGACATAGGCGGCCAAGCTGGCGGACGACGAGGCATCGACACCGGTGACATGGTGATAGACTCCGGTCTGTGATTGTATCGCCGCGAAGTCAGCTTTTGTTATCTCTGCGCACTCCGACCGGGGTCGATCGACGTCGAACGTACCTGGCGATGAGAGCTGGTCTTAGGTTGTTTGACCAAGTAAACCAAGTCGGGCGGACCTAATTCCCGAAGGTTCTGGAGAGATTCAGTGCGTGCATCGACAGCGGCGTAGATGTCCTCCTCCTCGTAGATCCTAAAGACATTCAGGGGGTTGTCAGTGCCAGGTCAACAACGGTGGGCCCAATTGAGCTGTAGATAGCGAGTCCGAGTCGGCAAGAACACGTAAATGGATGGAGGGGTGGGGGGAGAGAGAGAGGGAATGCCTTACTCAGGCACTGCGGGCGCGACCATGGCGCAAGCACTTGATTGAAAGCACTTGGATTGAGAAGATAAAACTCGGATCCTGGAAGCGATACACCCTTTCAGAGATCAAACGATAGACAAGAAAGATAGCGAGGCGCACAGCGGGAGACTGGCTGGGCTTCCAAGTGCAAGTCGTCGTCACGGCCGCGCCCGCCGATCATCAATAGGGAAATAGTACGGAGTACCTCAGGCAACCTTGAATACATAGTAGGGTACCTCAGGCAGCCAACTGCCAGCCAGGTACCGCCTTTCCATTTTGGGCACACGCGCGATTTCCATCTAACTAATGGGCGGAATGCGTCTCACTCGCGGCCGGCTGGCTCTAGACCCACCCCGCTGGTGCAACAACCACTCCATCAATCATTGCCATCCTTCCTTCTTGGTTTCATTTTCATCTTCACAACTACTTCCGGGGCTTGTTACTCTAGCGCCCTCCCCCCTCTTCGGTCGGAGCTGTGCTGTCTGAGGCCATTGCAACTTCTTGCGATGCGGCCGGTCAGGCTCAAGGCTTATACCGCAGTCCGGGAGCTTTGCGCACCCTGAAAATCACACCGACATCATGTCGAGCTGGGCGGCGCTCAACATCGAGCCCGATGAACTAATCGAGGAAGAGGTCGACGATACGAAGGAAATTCAGATTGAGGAAGCGCTCAAGCTGTACCAAAATGCGTTGAAGCTTCATTCCCAGGGCCCGCAGTTCTATGCGCAGGCCGCGGAGGCCTATGATGCCCTGTTAAACTCCGAGATATTCAAGTATCCTGAGTCCATTTCCGACTACAAGCGCGCCAACTTGCAGGATTCCGACCTCCCCATTGACTTCGCTGCAGGCGCCGGAGCTGCAGAGGCGCTGGCGGAGTTCGACATCAATGACTCTACGTCGAGCACTTTGATGCAGACCATTTACCTGGCTTACAAGAACCACGGTCAATTCCTGTTAGACGCTCTACGCGCGGCCTTGGAGGGTCAGGCTACTGATGTGCAGGATGCTGCGGACCTACCGTCCCAGGTCACTGAACAGGCCAGCGCCGCTCTAGCAGCCTTCGCGGAGGCGCTGGAGCGCGATGACTCCGACCTCAATCTCTGGAGACAGAGTGCAAGGCTCTGTAGCACTCTACAGAGCTATCGTCTCACGCGGTACTGCCTGGAGAGCGTCCTGGCAGACGACGAGAATCGTCTGGAGGTGCGCACGGAGCAGCTAGGCTTGGAGGAGACGTTCGCGGAGGAGCGTCTGCGTGAAACTCTGTTGTCGATGCACGACCGACTCTCCGTGTCTCAGGTTCCCCTCAAGAAGCCGAAAAAGGCCCTTCTGAAATTCCTCAGGAGGCAGGCTGATCCATTCCCTTACCTTCCGGCACTTCCACAGCAAGTCGAGGATCTCCATGCGTCAAGGTCTCACCTTTCCCCACAGAGCTCACGTCTTGAAATCAGGCCCGTCGGCCCTACATGGGCTGCGCTAGGAAAAGCTATACTTCAGTCCCTCATTGATGACGAGCTGGGTGTAGCAGAGATCAAACCTCGAACCTCGGTCCGGATATCGCTTCCAGCTCCCAGTCCCGAGCTCAAAAGTACCATAGAGGTTGCCATTCCCGTCTACCATCCACCGGCAGAGGAGACGGACTCACAAAGGCAACAAGCCAGCCGTGCGCCTGCTGAATCCGAGCAGGCTACAGATGGCGCTCCTCGCGTGAAATCAGAAGTTGCTGACGACCATTCCTCCATCGATCAACGCGCAGAGAAGCAGCTCATGGAATCATTAGAGACGCAGTCATCGGAGCCCCCCGGTCCGAGCACTCAACCAGACAATGCGAACATGGAAGAAGCCAGTGCAAGGCCCCTAACAGGAGGTCGCAAGCGTTCGTCTGCATTTTTCCAACCCGACGATGTCGATAATCTGAGGGCGAAGAGCAGAAGGACACGGCTTCGAGAGTCAACCGCACACGCAGATAGTTCTTCGCAGGCGGTGGACTTGGCTGCTGACTATGCTAAGTTCTATGATGACCGCCTCGAAAGTTATGTGCAGGCGGATGACTCAATGCAGTCAGCTGTCGGCCCCTTGTTGGCCAAGCTCGGCGTCGAAGATCTCAGCGATATCGATGAGCTCAGAAAAGCCGTGCGGGCGATGGTTGTTCGCAAAGAGTCGACTGATATCTCGGCTGACGAGTCCCACGAAGGCCACCATCTGGTCGGGGACTTGCTAGACACACTCCGAAACTGGGATGAAGCAAGATCCCAGGTCACCTACCAGCCCGACAGCCTGTCTACTTTGCAGGATCTTCGAGGAATGGGAAACTCCGGGCTGGCTATCTTCTTGGAACACTCGAGAAAGTCGGCCAGGAAGCTGGGGGTGAAACAGGCTCTCGCTGATGACGAGAGACTTTTCAGGCTCACCACGAGCGTGAATGATGAGCTTATGCATATTCGCGATGCTGCCCTTGCCTGGCTCAAAGCTCTATTAATGCCGAAATTTGCGAAGCATGCGATGGATCATGTTGTGCCACGGAAGTGGCCTGCAATGGAGTCCGCATACACGTCGCTGCAGTGGCCAGACTCACTGAAGGAGACTGTGGTGCAGCTCATACTGCACCAAGACGAGTTTATTTACGAAAGCATGCACGAACAGCTGCAAAGCCTTGAGACTCAAATTCTCGCAGGTCAAGCTGAATCCACATTTTCATACACGCTTGCGCATTTCTCTGATTTGGAAATGATTCAAACACTTTTTGAACTTCACCTTGACATATACGCGTCAATTAATAATCCTAATAGTGAGGTGGATGGAAGAACGAGGATTCAGCAGCGCGATCGCTTGGGGAGATGGAGCCTCCTCGCACGTACCGCTTTATCACACTTCCTTGACCACAGCCACGCTAGCACAAGCTGCCAGCAGGTCTTTGCCCTGCGACACATATGGGCATCGACTTTTCATTCCAATATGGCCAGTGACATCCAACGAGAGCATGTATTGCTCTGTCTTCAGGAGCTAAAATCACTCTTTGAGCGCTTGAAAGATCCAGTAATTGGCCTTGTGAACAATGCGATCATGCCTGAACTGTCTTCCGAGGCTGTTGATCAAGAGATCTCGAAGCTCAAGTCCATGGACTTCTTCATGAAAATCTTCAACCCGAGCTCAGAGGACCCAGTGGAGCTCATTGAGACCATTGAACCTATTCTCGAGCCCGCGTCTTTTCAAATCGAAGGTATCGATGAGGGAAGCGAGCCACTTGAGCCCAATTCTCAAATCACTGAGATGAGTTCTTTCCTGGATCGCGGCGATGCCACGCTGAGACTCTTCCTCTGGCGAAGACTACAGGATGCTTACAAGAAGATTGATTATCCTCCCAAGGTCATTTCTTGCTACTTGCGCAGCATCGAAATCATAATGAAAGAGCTTCAGATCTCATCCGAGTCGGACGAACCCAGTGAGCACCGTCAAATCACCCTCCTTCGGTGGCTCAAATCGCTTGATAGCATCTTGAACAAGACTGTAACAGCCGTGCTTCTGGACGCGGACAAAGCATACGAGTGCTTTGACATGGAACATTTGAAGGCTTCGTTGACTGCAGTGGCCTCTCTGACTAGACTTCTCTACGGGTTCTCATTGTATGAGGACCTACTTCGCGTCGGTGCGACCACAGGTCCAGAAGTCCGCGGCGCGCTATCGAAGTCTCTAGAGAGCCTCAAGGATAGACTGCGCGAGATGCAGGTCCGCTGCTGGGTTCTGCAATACACACTTGTAAAGGAAGCTATGTCTCAAGAAAAGGAGGAGTTCGAGACCACTGCAGAAGATCGAGTGAACTACTTGCGAGCTGTCCATCAATGCCTGGGCATTCGCTTCATGTGCAAACTGTCTCACAAGCAATTCCTGAAACTGATGAGATCTGAGCTCTTCGCTATCGGCGTCAACGATGACACTGAATGGGACATATGTCAGCTCCTGTACGACATCAACGGGATCAAGTGTTCACCCTTGTATGGCGAATTGGACGACCACAAATGCCCAACGGAGAAGCTGGATCGCACCACGGCTATCATCATGGTGAACTTGGTGATGAAACAAGCCCAGCGAATGAGCATCAAGGACTTGTCGAAGTCGGAGTTGAAGTCCACCATCGAGAAGATGCAGCAGGCCATTGGCACTACCAAGTCATCTCCTCCTTTGTCTTACAACAAGCGCATCACAAATGCATATCTGAAGTCTCCAATCAACCCGTTGGCGCTCTTCCGATCCATCCAGGGCGTGGCAAGCTTATCCTTGATCCCAGTGCTAACCGAAAGTGCTATGGTCGCTCGGAATGGCTGGTACTTCCTCCTTGGGTATGCGGCTTTGACCAGGTTTCGGTCGCAGAAGCGCTTGAGCCCACTCCCGACAACTGATCTTGATGATGCCGTCATGTGCTTCCGACAAGACATTGAGCACGGAACGGCGCGATGGGAGACCTGGTACAGGTTGGCGCAGACATACGATTCGAAGTTGGAAGAAGATATCACCTGGACAGCTGACAGAATCAACAACAACCGGGCGGAGCTGGTAACATGGCAGCGCTATTCTATTCATTGTTATGCCATGGCCATTTCGACGGCCATGGGAAACTCGGATCCAACACCAGAGACCCGCGAGATGCTCGCGGACCTGTTCACAGATTTCGGAATTCGCCTTTACTCGTCCTCTAGGGAACCACTGTCTATGGGCGCATTTAGTCTCGCAGACTTCACACGTCATTTCAGCAACGAGGAAAGCCAAAGCATGTATGAAGGCCGACCTTTCAAGGAGATGAAGCTATACTCCGTGTGGAATCTCGCCAGCTACCTTCTCAAGCGGGCTCTAGTCGACAAGCCCAAGAACTGGATGTACGTGTTTATGGTTCTGTTCGACCTACAAAAGACTAACCGCATGCAGGACTCATTACATGCTAAGCAAGTGTCTCTGGAAGATGTTCAGCTGTGATGATTCCGTAAGAGGGCCATTCAAGCAGCTCGATCTAGACACTTTGTTGGACTCCTTACTCGATGCGATTGACGCTCTGCCGCAACGAAGGGATTCGCGGTCGGAACCGATATTCGAACCTCACTACAAGCTTGTGACTGTAGTGCACAAGTTGGTTCGTCGCGGAGCCTTGGAGGTATGGACACTATGTGCCCG